GCAGCTGTGCTCAGGACTGAGCACAGTGAGACACCAGAACAGCACTGCATCAGACATAGGCTACCAGGGTAAGAAATGACCCCGACCACGGTCTGCTCGTGCCTCTCAAACTCTGCTCACTCTGTTGCTTCTAATCCTGACCTACTATAGGGGTATAAAACAGGCACAAATGCGACATCCACTGATGGCCAGGCAGGAGGAAATGCCTGTCAAAGGCTGAGAGAGCTTTGTGAGCTGAGACCGGCTCTACACAAAGGAGACCCAGGTCTGTCTGTGGCATTGTGTGGTACCGGCACAGAGCCAGGTACAGCCCCAGCACTCCACCAGGTGTGGTCCCAAGAGCAAAAATTAAAACATTCAAAATGGTGCTCGCTTTGGCAGCACATATACTAAAATTGGAACGATACAGAGAAGATTAGCATGGCCCGTGCACAAGGATGCCACGCAAATTTGTGAAGCGCTCCATAATTAAAAAAAAAAACATTCAAAATGGAGCCTGAGCAACAGTACAGTGGGTAGGGCACTTGCCTTGCCGCAACTGACACAGATTTGATCCCCCACATCCCATATGGTCCCCTGAGCACTGACAGGGGTGACTCCTGACTGCAGAGCCAGGAGAAAGCCCTGAGCATTATTGGAGTCTGGGCAGAAAAACAAGAAAAGAAAAAATATTTGAAGTGACCCTGCACTTTGTGGCCCCACCAGAGTGGTGACTGGAGTCTGAGAAGACGGGGTCTAGGCAGGCAGCACGTGTCAGCTGCAGGCTCAGTCACGTTTGCTTGCCAGAGACCATGTGGAACCAAGTCTTCAAAGTAACTGCAGGCATGGCCCCAGGGACTTGGGGGTGGGGTGACACGCGCAGGGAGGAGAGGAGGCAGGCAGCGGCCAGGTGGTCTCTAGCACACCACAACAGGCTGCTTCCTGGTGGTCTTGGCCAGTCCCCACAGCTCCTTCAGACAGGGGTGGTGCCCGTGCGGTCTGTGTGGGTGAGGGAAGGGCTCTCTGTGCCAGGGTGAGGTGTGGGCTGAGCTGGCCGTGCCCAGTCTCCTGCATTCTCCTTGCAGGTGAGCTGACAGCAGGGGATCTACCCCTGTGCTCAGGTGTGTCCCAGTGGCAGTCTCCATCACTAGCTCTTGGGCCTCACCTGCCTCTTTGCCTCTTCTGCCCGCACTTTGTTTTTTCAGCAGTGGTCCCTCTTCCCTGCGAGAACTTGGGTGGAAGAGCACTGCTCTGCCTCAGCTTTCTTTCAGAGCACAACGGCTGCTCAGTGCTTGTAGAGAGGAGAACCTGGGGATGGGGGTGGGGGTGGGGGAAGAAGGTTTTTAACGTATTCCACACCCCGAAGATGCTCCTGTTGCTATGCCCTCATGCCTTCAAGGCCAGGCTGCACAGGGCGGTCCTCATGCCTCCAGTGCACCCTGGCAGCACCGCTAGTTCCCCTCAGGGAAGACATGGGTCACTTCAGGAAAAGTGCTGGAAGAGAATCATGCAGGCTGCGCGGACACACATGGCTCTGCACACAGTGGTCTCAGGGCACTCGGCCACTGAGATGGTGCCCCAAGGCCTTTGCCCTGGAGTAGGAGAACATCAAGGCCAAAGCGGTCACAGGGGAGTGGCGGTGGTTCCTCCTGTCAACAGAACAGGTTGCCCCAAATATGGCCACTCAGGTCTGTGACCTTCCAAGGCCATGTTTCCTGTGCCATTAGCCCAGTGACCTCATGCACAGAGCCAGCCTGTTGTTATGACCACCTACCCATCTGCCCTTCCCTTGGAGACAGCTGGAGTAGACACAGGCACCCCAAGCTCCACCAGTGTCCAGGTTTGCATGGTCAGCGGCTAGACCCACCCTGTCCATAAGGAGAAACCTTGTTTGCTTTGGTTCCTTCTTCTGAGACGTTTCCTCTGCTCTCTGCCCCACCTCAGAAATGGGGATAGTGGGTGACAGCTCTCAGACTGCACCTATATAAGCACCACCATGCACAGGATCACCCAGAGAACATGCTCAGGAACATAAGTCTGACCCCAGAGCACATGTGCAGTTATTCGTGAGCACTGCGCAGTGACCCAGGAGCTTATGTGCAATGACCCTGGAACACATATGCAGTGACTCTGGAACACATGTGCACTGACCCGGAGCACATGTACACTGACCTTGTAGCACATGTGCAGTGACCCAGGAGCACATGTGCAGTGACTCAGGAGCACATGTGCAGTGGACCTGGAGTACATGTGCAGTGATCCTGGAGCACATGTGAACTGACCCTGGAGTATATGTGCAGTGATCCTGGAGCACATGTTCAGTGACTCAGGAGCACATGTGTAGTGACGCTGGAGCTCATGTGCACTGACCCTGGAGCACATATGCAGTGACCCTGGAGCACGTGTGCAAACATAGCTACTAATGTACCTCCACCAGCACACCTGCACCTTGTGTCCTCTGGCTTCTGTTGTGTCAAGTTCCCTGCTTTCTATAGTAAAGGCACGAAGAACAAGAGGCCCAGAGAGCAAGAGGCCCAGGGCCTCACTGTGATCATGCTGAAGGATCCTTTTTCCAAGTCAAGGCTGTCTGTCTGCATAGGTTCGAGCAGAAGCAGTTTCTCTTGCAGGGCTGTTCTTCAGCCTGATTATAGGCTGAGTATCCCCAGACTGTGCTTTAAAACAATAATCACTTATTCCCCCTTTGTTCTGGAGCTGGGATATCCATAGTGAATCTTACAGGGACAAAACTAAGGTGTTTAGGGTGTCTCCCTCAACCCCCTAGGAACTTCAGGGGGAAACTTCTTCTTGCTCTGGAGAGCACTGTCAGTGCCTGGCTTCCTTTTGGTCACCTCATAGCAACCACAGGGCCTCCCTCCTGCCTTCCTCTGGAACGTGACTGCACTCAGGGCACACCTGAATGGTGCAGGCTTCCCTGCTCAGCTCAAGGCAGATATGGTGGGCTGTTCTGCCACACACAAGGCCCACAGGAGAGCCACCCTTGTCAGCTCTGTGAGCTGAAGGAGGAGAATGCCTGGGTTCTCCTCCTGTACATGTCTACACACATGGGTGACCTGGGTGTTAAGGGTAAGTCTCGTCTATCTTGAACGTTGTATGAATGCATGTGGGACACTAGCTCTCTCCACGCTACATTCTCCTCTGATGAGAACACACAGGGGGCACTACGGCCTCCAGGTAGCCTGGCTTTTTTGTTCTGGCTACACCCAGTGGTGCTCATGGTTTACTCCTGGTGAGTGGAGGGAACATATGAGATGGTGGGGATTGAACCAGCATAGCTGTGTGCAAGGCAATAGCCCTACTTGCTGTTCTATTACTCTGGCCCCTAGATGGTCTTACTTCTTTGCACTGGCTTGTAAAGTGCCTTTCACCCCCTTTCCAACCCTTGGGTAACCCTGGGATGGATGGAGGCAGTATCTTCAGGGACACTTTGACATGTTGCCACAGATGGAGAACATTTTTTTCCCAATGTGGCTTATACTCTTACACTGCTGAAATGCTGGTCAGAAATTTCCTCTGGCAGAAAGGTTTTATTTTTATTTTTTAACTTAAAAATTTGATTGAGGGGCTGGAGTGATAGCACAGAGGGTAGGGCGTTTGCCTTGCATGCGACCGACCTGAGTTCGATTCCCAGCATCCCATATGGTCCCCCGGGCACCGCCAGGGGTAATTCCTGAGTGCATGAACCAGGAGTAACTCCTGTGCATTGCCAGGTGTGACCCAAAAAGCAAAAAAAAAAATTTTTTTTGATCGAGGCTCTACGATTTAAAATATTGTTAATGATGGTTTCCTGGGTACATAAATCAGCACCACACCTATCACCAAGGAAGCTGTGTTTTGCGACAGTACAGTGTGTAGGGCAGCTTGCTTTGTATGTGGCTGACCTGCAATCACGCTGAAATATCCTCTTTCCAAAGTCAAGGCTGTCTGCACAGGTACAAGCAAGATCTCAATCCCTGGAATCCCATGTCATTCCCCCAGAACTGCTAGGAATAATTTCTGAATGTAGAACCAGGAGTAACCCCTGAGCACCACAGTGTGTAGCCTCAAAACAAAACAAAACAAAACAAAAAAGCTGGGTTTAATAGGGGCCAAGAAGGGCTTCTGTTCCATGCCCTCCATCCTCCACTTAGCACTGTGTTCTCCCAGAGAACACTTGTGTTTGCACAAGCGTTAATTTTCCTGAGCTGGTAGGTTCTTGTGAATTTTATGACAGATTTGCATACAAAACTCAGAAGATAAAAAATTAATAGTTTATTATAAAGCTTAAATAGTTGGGTCTGGTCCTCCCCAAATGTCCTTTACCCTTGAACACCATCCTGTCCCTGATGTTGCCCTGTCCCATGAATGACTTCCCCACCTCATCCCACACAGACTACTCGCCTCCAGTGAATAATTTTTTTTTTTTTTGCTTTTTGGGTCACACCCGGTGATGCTCAGGGGTTACTCCTGGCTCATGCACTCAGGAATTGCTCCTGGCGGTGCTCGGGGGACCATATGGGATGCTGGGAATCGAACCTGTGTCGGCCATGTTGGCTGCGTGCAAGGCAAACGCCCTACCCGCTGTGCTATCTCTCCAGCCCTTCCAGTGAATAATTTTTAAAAAATAAAGAAAATAAGAACCTCTGGCATACAGCTTGGCTCTAGAGGGCTCCCCTGATCAGACTGTAGTTCCCTCCGTGGCTGCGGTATCTAAGGACCAGGTAAGTCGGCCCCGCCCTCCAAGCCCCGCCCAACCTCCCTACTGGGCCCGCCCTCATACAAGCTCCGCCCCAACAACTTCATCCTCGAGGTCCCGCCCCTCTTCTCCAGCCCCACCCACAAGACCCGCCCCGCCCCGCTCCCTAGCCCTGCCCACGGTCCTCCAGCCCCGCCTCCTCCCCCGCCCACTTGACACCGCCCCGCCCATCTGGCCCCGCCCCACCTTTCCGCCCGGCCCCGCCCCTAGGCCGGCCCCGCCCCGGCCCGCCAGCCGTGCCGCCCTCGGCGCTCCCTTCCGCCCTGCCCCGCGCGGTGGATGTGCTCGGCACTCGCGCCTCCCGGCTGCGCGCGCATACGGCTCTGCGCTTCGCTTCCGGCCGCGGCGGCCCGAGCGCCGGCCTGAGGAGCTGAGGAGCTGAGGCGCCTGGGGCCGGCGGCTCCTGGGGGCATGAGGCGCTGAGGCGGCCCCGCGGCGCCATGAACCTCCTCCCGTGCAATCCCCACGGCAACGGGCTGCTCTATGCCGGCTTCAACCAGGACCACGGTGAGGACGCCGCCCGGCCCGCGCGCTGCTCCCGCCGCCGCCTGCGGCCTGGGCCAGCCTGCGACCATCGCCGCGCCTCAGCGTCCGCGCCAGACCCACGCGCGACCGTGTGCGGCGGGACCCCGGGCGGGGGGAGGGGAGCGGGACCCCGGTAGGAGAAGAGGGGGGCGGCGGGACCCCGGGAGGGGGAGGGGAGCGCGACCCCGAGAGAGGGAAGGGAAGCGGGGCGGGGGGGAACGGCGGGGCCCCTCAGCTCTGGTTCCGTCCCCCTGCAGCTCGGGTCTCCCTTGCCCCCAGCCCCGCGTCCCGCCCGGTGTGCTCCCCGAAATTGGTGATCCCCTGAGCCCTGTGGTGTCCCTGGCGAGCCCAAGCGAGTACCCTGCCCGATGTGGGCAGCCCTGCAGTAGTGAGGGGACGTGGGGCCAGGTGGTGTCGGCGCCAAGGCGGGGGTAGGGCTTCGCCTCTGCGCCCCCTGAAGCAAAGCTGTGGGGACTAATGGGACCCATTCCAGAACTGACCCAGCATCAGAACTGAACCGAGCCCCAGAGGGGGCTCCTCTGATAGCCTCCTGAGTGGTCCCTGCCTCTGCGCTGTTTGGTCCTTGGTTTCACAGGAGGGTGCATATGGTGACAGACTTTTCAAACTCAGGCCTGCAAGACTGGGCACAGAGCCAGGGTGAGCCTTGGGGCTCGGGGCATACCTGTGCGCTGACCACCTCAGGTGCCCTGGGCATTGCTAAGGGTGGTCCTGGCAGTCCCAGAGCACATTGGATATGCCCTGGGTGACCTCAGTATGACACTCAGTTGACCCAGTCCCCGTTGGCCCCCCTGGCCTCCTGAGTACTGCTTGGTCTCCCCCCACCAAAAAAAAAGAAGGAGACCAAGCTTAGGGCCTGGGAGATGTCTCCAAGGACCAAGCACCTGTGTGCACGCAGGAGGCACTGCTGGGTGTGATTCAAAAACTCCAAAAGAAAGTAAAAGCATAGATGGCATGAATTAGCTTCATCTTTCTCTGGATTTTATTTCATCTTTTTTTCTTCTTGTTTATTTATTTTTGGCTTTTTGGATCACACCCAGCACTGCTCAAGACTTACTCCTGGCTCTGCACGAGGGCATCACTCCTGGGGAGATATGGAGGACCATATGGGGTACTGGGGATTGAGCCTGGGTCAGCTCCATTGCTCTGGCCCCCTGGGGTATTAACTTTTGCAGAATTTTTCCATAAAGTCTTAGCAGAAATACATCTTGGCAGGGGTGTATGGCCACACCCAGCAGTGTTCAGGGGCTATTTCTGACTGCTGAGGAGTGACTCTTTGCAGTGCCTGGGACACCATATGTAGTGCCAGGGATGAAACCAGGGTTGGCTACATGAAAGGCAAGTGCTTCAATGCTATACTTTCTTTCTGAACCCCAGAAGTATATGCTGTGATAAAGAAAAATAAGATATGCAAGCTTACGACATGGGTAAAGGGCCAGAGAGGCTTAAAACTTGGGTAATCCTTGAGAGAAATGAAAAATATTCTGGGGACTCCTTTATTATTTCCTTACATTTCATGAAGCCAAATTTTAATTTCTCCAAGTTTTAATTGTGTACAGATTACATGATTTTACTACTACAAAGGAGTTACAACCCAGAACAATCACTTTAAAGTGAATTTCAGGCTCCAGACCCAAGTAAATTGCATTTCAGATCCTGAGAGTTGATTGGAGAAGATAGTCTCCAACTGGTTGGGGCAGGAGTCCTGAGTCCTTGAATCTGTTGTGTTGTATGGTTTTACAAGTAACTTAGATAAAACAAAATACATAAGCAAGGATTTTACCTTTGAAATGGTGACTGAAAGGTCTGAACAGTGTAGTGCCAAAGCTGGACAACGGAATGAAATTCAGTTCAATAAAATGTAAGGGGCTTCAGGGCTGGCATCAGACAGTTGTGCAGTGACAAGGGGAGGGCATGGGGTGAGAAGGAGAGGATTTCACATATGTAGCCTCTTGTGAAAAAGCGTTAAATGGTTTTGTTTTTGCTTTTGGGCCACACCAGTATTAAGGGCTTAATCCTGATTCTGACCTCAAGGATCACTCCTGACTCTGCTCGGAAGACGATAGCAGGTGCAGGAGATAGAACTCAGATCAGTCTCATGCAAGGCAAGGGCCTTACCTGCTGTCCTATTTCTCTGGTCCCTTGGTTTTTATTTATTTATTTTTTTAGCTCCATGAGCCTGCTGTGGGAAGTTGGAGTGAGTGGCTCCAAGATTTCTTGGATGTTAAGCCAGAAATTAAAAGTGATTTGCCTTTCAGACTGTTTTTTTTCTCTCTCTCTTTTTGGGTCACACCTGGCGATGCACAGGGGTTACTCCTGGCTCTGCACTCAGGAGTTACTCCTGGCGGTGCTCAGGGGACCATATGGGATGCTGGGAATCAAACCCGGGTCGGCTGCGTGCAAGGCAAACTCCCTACCCCCTGTGCTATCTCTCAGCCCCTCAGATTGTTCTTGAGCAAGAAGAGTGGTCATGGTACACATGGACAGACCATGTCTGAGCAGACTAAACACCTTCAGGAATTTTGGGGAGTTTTTTTCCACTTGCTGCTTTTGCCATTTCAGACTGGGGGTTCTGAGCTGTCTCTCCAGCAGTATCATTATGTGCTTCTTTTGTACTCAGGATGCTTTGCATGTGGTATGGAAAATGGATTCCGAGTCTATAATACTGATCCACTGAAAGAAAAAGAAAAACAAGGTAAGGAATAATGGGTGCTGGTTTTTCTTGCCCTCAGGATTGACATATTTTATGTGGAGATGGGATTGTTCAAGCTGTGTTTTTTTGGTTTGTTTGTTTTGGGGCCACATCCTGCAGTACTCAGAGCTTACTCATGGATCTCTGCTCAAGGATCATTCCTGGTGGGGCTCAGGGGACCTCTTGGGTTGCCAAGGATTGAACCCCGGTTGGTTGCGTGCAAGGCAAGCATCCTGCCTGCTAAACTATTGCTCGTGTTGCTGTTCAAGCTGATTTTGAAAGTAAATAGGATTCATGATCCTCCGTAAACTTAAAGAACTGGCTTCTTTCTGTCTCTAAATATTGAGCTCTGTGCAGGGACCAGGCTGCTGTCATGTTCTGGGGGACACTGGGGTATTCTTAAGATTGAGCATTGCAATAGCAGTTTTGAAACATATATGTGTCCCTTATATTTCTTGTGCTGGCTGTAGTAGAAGAACAAGGAATGGTGACACCATCAGTTTTCACTCTCACTCTTACTTTTGAAGCTGCGACTCAAATGATGGGTTTAATTGTAGCACATGGGGCTATGAATGACCAGCACTTAGAACATGCTATTGTAGGGGCATGCTGTTGTAGCAGTGAATTAGATTGTTTCTGTTATTTCCGTATCTTCAGCTAGGTTTTTATGAAGGAAAATATAATACAAATTTATAGATAAAAAATTGCTTCCTAGTTACTTGGCCAACTGGGCCAGTGATTCAGTATAAGGGCCCAAAGATATGGTGCTTCTTGATTCTTGGAATGCTAGGAATTACCAGTCCACTGAGGTGGGGCTGGAGCGATAACACAGTGGGTAGGGCGTTCGCCTTACAAGCGGCCAACATGGCCGACCCGAGTTCGATTCCTCCGCCCCTCTCGGAGAGCCCGGCAAGCAAACACAGTAACAACAAAGTCTCCAATGGAGACGTTACTGGGCCCGCTCGAGCAAATCGACGATCAACGGGAGGGCCTTTACGTTTACCTTTACCAGTCCACTGCAATGTTCACGAGGCAGGTAGAATCAGTTTCTCCCTCCTGTCCCCCTCTCCCTCTCCCTCTCCTTACTTCTCTCTCCCCCCCTCCCCCAGTCTTTTTTTTTTCTTTTTGGATCACACCTGGCAATGCACAGGGGTTACTCCTGGCTCTGCACTCAGGAATTACTCCTGGTAGTGCTCAGGGGACCATATGGGATGCTGGGAATCGAACCGGTATTGGCCGCTTGCAAGGCAAACGCCCTACCCACTGTGCTATCGCTCCAGCCCCCCCCCCCTCAGCCCCCCCATCCTTTCTTAAGCTTTTGGTATTTCCTGGTCCTCACCTACTGGGAAAATTAGGCACTGTCAACAGATGAACAAACCTCAGATAAAAATTATTATTATTATTATTATTATTTTTAATCTTAGAACTTGAAAAGCCCCGTTTTTCTCCCTGCAGTTACTTTTTTTTTGTTTTTCCTGCAGTTATGTTTTTATTCAATATTCTAATTACATGTTCTGATTCTAGGACTGGGTTGTTTTGTTTTTGGAACACATCCAGCAGTGCTCAGGAGTTACTCCTGACTCTGCACTCAGGATTTACTCCTAGTGGTGCTCAGGGGACCACATGGGATGCTGGGGATCAAATGTGGGTCGGCTCTGTGTAAGGCAAACACCCTGTACTATCTTTCCTCCCCCTCCTTCCATTTTAATGACTAATATCCTAAATTAGATTTTCAGAGTTCCTTCGGGGTGGCAGGTATGGGGGGGGACAGTGGAACCTCTTTGTCAAGTTGAAATCTTATAGACCACAGTGGTAAAACAGTAAGATATAAGGTAAACTTTATATCTAGGAATTTATTTTATAAAATGAATGTTTATAAAATAAACATTTCAATAAATCACTGTATCACTGTCATCCTGTTACTCCTCAATTTACTTAAGTGGGCGCCAATAACGTCTATTCGTCCCAGCCTTGAGATTTTAGTATCCTCTTGTCTTTCCCAATGATGGGAGTAACAGTTACTGTAATGAGACCTGTTACAGTTACTGGTTTTGGCATATCAGATAAGCCATCGGGAGCTTGCCAGGCTCTGCCCGTGTGATTGGATGGTCAGTACTACCTAAAGAATTTCATTGTCAAATGTAATAAATATTTTAATGAGTATTTAAAATATAAAATAAATAAATATTTTAAAAATATTTAAAATAAAACACTCCATCAGGGGACAGCTTGGACTCTTGACCCACCTTATCTATTTATTTATTTTGCAGGGGTGTGTGTGTGTGTGTCACACCTGGTGATGCACAGGGGTTTCTCCTGGCTCTGCACTCAGGAATTACTCCTGGCGGTGCTCGGGGGACCATATGGGATGCTGGGATCGAACCCCGGGTCGGCCTCGTGCAAGGCAAATGCCCTACCCCCTGCTATCGCTCCAGCCCCCAACCTACCTTATTTAGATCCAGTTGAATTCAGGCCCTGCCTCTTGATAGGTGACAGTGTGACTTGGCACTTTTCTTGCTGGTTCTCATTTTCTTTTGTTTCCTCTTTTTGGGTGGGTGTGGTGGGGGAGTGGGGTTGATGCTTAGGGAACCACATATGTTATCAGGGATGGAGCACACACCTCTTACATGTAGAGTGCATTTAGCGCATTGAACTCTCTCCTTGAACCCTAAGTGTAAAGGGAAGATGGGGGTGGGTGCAGTAGTCTAGTGGGTAGGGTACTTGTTTTGCACATGGCCAACTCAGCTTCAATCCCTGGGACCGCATATCATCCCTCAAGCCCCTCCAGCAGTGATCCCTGAGTGTAGACCTGTTTGTGAGTTTCCAAAAGAAAAGCATGGGTGCGTTCGGTGGCCCAGAGCCGTTCCCTTGACCCATAGATGAAAGACCAATGAAGGACCGAGAATGGAGAAACAGGGCCCCAGGCTGATCAGTAATCAGTTTATTTCTCTCTTCTCCCCAACATAGTTTGATCTCTCCCTTTACAGCACGCATAGTCATAGTTTTGGTCGTAGTCCAGTCATCAGTTCCTGACATCCTTGTTCTCCTAGTCCTCGACTTTCTTTCTTTTTTTTTTGCGTCATACCTGGCGATGCACAGGGGTTACTCCTGGCTTATGCACTCAGAAATTACTCCTGGCAGTGCTTGGGGGACCATATGGGATGCTGGGAATCTGGGAATTAAACCCGGGTCGGCTGTGTGCAAAGCAAATGCCCTACCCACTATGCTATGCTATCGCTCCAGCCTCGACTTCTAGTCATCATCATATCCCTTCTTTCCCCTCTTTCTATATAATAGCATAGTTATATAGATAACATGAAGGGGGGCGTACACATAGGTCTGGTTGATGATTGTCATAACAACAAACAGGTAAAGCCACTCCTTCAGGGGAAGTTCTAGGAATTAACTCAAGGACAAAATCTCATCTGAGGGTTGATGATTACTAGGAGATCCGCCCAAGGGCGGGATTCCATCCAGAGTGTATAGCTTTTTCTTTTCCTCAGCTAGTAATCCATTTAACCAGTCATAGTAAATTTACTTCTTATAATATTTCTAGTCATTTTGTATGAACACAGTAAGAGATATTAAGCTTAGAGGTTGGCTCTTCCTGGGGACATCTCGTTATATATCCCAGACTAGAGTCCTCAGGCCAGTTTATTTTTTCCTATCCCCAGCAGGGTCCTTATTCAGTTACTGCTTTTTGAATCATGACAGTTTGTTTCATGACTGTGCTCTTAAGTTATTATACTTCTTATGGCACTTAGCTTGTCCCCTTTCGATGCCAAGGTAGCTTACAGCTTGCCCTGGGTCCATCCAGACTCTTCAGGACCCTCCTTTTGGGGGTGTTAGGAAGTAAGGGCAGCTGAGGCTTAAGTCAATAGCATAGCGGGTAGGGCGTTTACCTTACAGGAGTCCGACTCGGGTTTGATTCCCAGCATTCCACATGGTCCCCAAGCACCGCCAGCAGTAATTCCTGAGTGCAGAGCCAGAAATAACTCCTGTGCATTGCCAGCTGTGACCCAAAAAGCTAATAATAATAATAATAAATTTTATGCAATGCCTGAGGCTGTGCAAGTGTATACTCTTCTTATTTGTTATCAGTAGCTCAGCATTGTTTTGACAGAGTAGACCAATCAGATCTATCAGTTTTGCAGTTTCTAGCTTGTATTTTATTTTGATTGCTTGCATAGTGAATGAAAAACAATTCTGGGTTTTTGGGTGATTTTGGGGGGAGTGTCACACCCGGCAATGCACAGGGGTTACTCTTGGCTTTGCACTCAGAAATTACTCCTGGCGGTGCTTGGGGGACCATATGGGATGCTGGGAATTGAACCTGGGTTGGCTGCGTGCAAGGCAAACGCCCTGCCCTCTATTTTATTGCTCTAGCCCTCAACAGTTCTGTTTTTTAGAAATAGATATAGTAACAAAAAAACTTTGGAACATCCTAACTTGCAATAATTTAAGGCTATTTTTTACTTAAATTAACTCAGAAATTTTGAAAATTGAATTATTAACGCCTAATTAATGAAATGTTTAAGATGAATTCAGGATTTATAAAAGGTGGGGGCAGAGTGATAGTACAACAGGTAAAGCATTTGCCTTGCACAAGGCTGATCCAGTTTTGATCTCCAGTGTCCCATATGGTCCCCTGAGCCCACCAGGAATGATTTCTTAGTGCAGAGCCAGGGGTAACCCCCAGACATCGCCAAGTGTGGCCCCAAAACAAAACAAAAAAAATAAAACCAAACAATAAAATGTTAGATAAGCACATAGAATTCCTGAGGTTCAGAATGGTGTGCCAGTGTTGAGCTGTAGAATATGAGGTTCATCCACTAAGCAATGCTGAGGGGACCAGGTGGTGTCGGAGATTGGTTTCTAAGTCCTGAAGGCAAAGCATTCATGCGGTGCAAGTATCATTCATGGCCACCGTACAACTCTTACCTGTATCAACTATCCCTGAATTTGGTTTGAATTGAAAGGATTGCAGTAGTGCTTTCTGATGA